ATTGCACAACTCCTTTGAGATGACTGAACGGTTAAACTGTATGACATGCTAAGTATATTTGGATGAAACTATTAGGAAAAAAAGCCCAAACAAAATAAATGATTGCATGCACATGTGTTTCAGCAGATGGTTTGGGCCACCTCCTGGTACTTCCCCCAGGGGCCCGAGGAAGGGAAAGTGACTGACTAGAGATCCCTTCTCAGTGTCCCCTTGAAGGGACAGACCCATGACCCCGGCGGCGGCAGGAAAAGGCTGACCACAAAATGGTGTGGGGAGGGGAGAAGAAGCGCTGGGAGGGGAGGGCTGGGGCGGCCACTAGTGCTGGGACAAGAGAGCCAGTGCGCTGTGGCCTGGGCTGCCCTCCCGGGGGCTCTGTCCATGGACACAGATGATGTTTTCACTTGCCTGGCCATCGGCTGGTAGGAATGACCTTCAAAGGTCGCTGTGCCCAGGCCATGGGCCTGGGCAGCCACATTCGAGTGACAGAAGTGTCATTCATTTTCAAACCACTTTCCCAGGAACCTAAGGGTGGCATTAGTTATGTGTGTGTGTGTGTGTGTGTGTGTGTGTGTGTGTGTGTGTTCACATGTATCAGGAGATGGGGTGCTGGTGGTCCTGCTGAGTGGCTCCCCCATTCCTCTCAGTTCTACTCTGAAGGGTTTGCTCGGTACCATTCTAAGCCACTGGGGAGGCCTGGCTCCTGCCAGATTGCTTGGTCTTTGGAAGCCTTCACGGTTCCCAGACTTTATTTGGTTTGAAATCCCCTTTTCAAGAAAAAAAAAAAAAATTCAGTGGCAATTAAAATGTTAGTACTATCCCCCTACTTCAGGATAAACTATAGGTATGTGCTTTGGCAGCACCCCCTAGATCAAGGGTCCTCAAACTGTGGCCTGCGGCCCACATGCAGCCCACTGAGGACATTTATCTGGCCCGCCGGGTGTTTTTGCCCCGTTTGTTTTTTTACGTCAAAATAAAATATGTGCAGTGTGCATAGGAATTTGTTCATAGTTTTTTTTTTAAACTATAGTCCAGCCCTCCAATGGGTCTGAGGAACAGTGAGCTGGTCCCCTGTTTAAAAAGTTTGAGGACCCCTGCGATTGTTCCAGGGGCCCCTAGGGGGTGGCATCGCCACTATGGGAAACACGGCTTCTAGGCTTCGAGCCCTAGCCCTCCCTCTGTGGGCTCCTTCATTCCTTCGAGAGCCCACAGTCCAGCTTTCCACCGGATGGTAAACATCACACTGGGCAGAGGAACTTGGAGAGAGTCAGACACTCTTCTGTGTGCCCTCCCTGAAGCCTGGCCTGTAGGGCTCCCGGAAGCAGGAGGGAGGAGTCTGCAGAGGTTCGAGTGGCCACCGGACTCCCAGGCTTCGTCAGAGGGGAGAACCTTTGTGGAATGAGCTCCAGAGGCTCAGGGAGCCACGTCAGGCCTCCTCTCTCACCCCAGTGTGTTACCGTCAAGCTTTGAGATGGGAGAAATGAGGTCAGGCCGCAGTGGTCAGTGCCACCATTTAGGTGGACAGAAGGCCTCCTTTTTGCCACAGTTCCAACTCTGCAGCCTGCAGCCGGTAACAGTTATAACAGGAAGACTATGCGTTGGCGTTCCACCGTCCTTGGTGCAAATCCCAGCTGGACCATTTCCTGCCTCTGTGGGTCTAAGCAACGACTCCTACACTCATCAGTGGAATGGGGATAATAATACTCCAGCCCTGCCTCAGACCTGTAAGGAGCTCTAGTGGTGCTGTTGGGTAAGTGTTGAACTGCTAACCCCAAGATTGATGGTTCAAACCCACCAGCTGCTCCTCAGGAGAAAGACGAGGCTGTTTGCTCCCATAAAGGCTAACAAGCTTGGAAACCCTACAGAGGGTCTGTGTGAGTTGGAACTACTCAGTGACCATGGGCTTGGGTTTTCCACGTGACCTCTAGGGATTGGCGATCATGCTGCGAAAGGGCCTGGCGAGTAGGCCCACTGTCAAGGTGGCTGTACATCAGAGAACCCTCCCTTCTTGAGCTGTCTCCTGCTCTGTCTCCTGGGGCTCCCAGGAGAGGCAAACTCCATGCTGAAATGCTCAGCACTGGTCTCCTGGAGGGTGGGCTCCACTCCCAATTCCATGTTCATTCAGTTGGTGAGCAGCCACCTCCCTACCTGTACTCAATTGCTTCCTCTGTAGGCAAACGGGAAGTTGCTCACCACGGGAAGGCAGGGAGGGGCTGCCTGGTGACGTGGCGTGCCTGTGGGTTTGGTGTCTGTGTACCACGTGGTCGGGGCAGGAAGTTGTGTTTCTGGTACCAGCAGGTCTTTGGGAGTGTAAAGGGGAGGGTGACGGTTGGCCAGGTGGTCAGTTCCTGGCTGGGAGGTGGACAGAGTTACGCTCTTGCTGAGGCTCTGGGGGCAGGAATAGCTTCTCCTTACCCTGTCTTTGTCCCCAAGCCACAACACCCCCCAACCTGGAGGCTCTTCTTGCTCGCACCCACTCAGAGCTTTGTGTATGCGGACTTGGGGACAATTCTGGACATGGCATGGGGTGGACTAGAACTAGAGACGCCAGAGGCCTGGAAGGTTCTTCTTAAAGTTTCGTGTAAGCAGGAACATACCTAGCCACATACCTTCACCAAGCCTGCCCCCCCAACCCGCCCACGTACAGGGTACAAAACCGGCTCGCTGGCTGGAGGGCAAAGGCCAGGCCACTTCCCGTAGTACTGTCCCTCATTCACCAACTACTGACGGACCGGGGATGAGCCACGCGCTGGCTCCACAGCTGGCGCAGGTAGGTGCCTTTGTTCTTGAGAGGTTCGTGGTGAGGTGGGAACTGTCCTTGTTGTTTGTGCCGTCCAGTTGGCTCTGCCCCATCGTTCCACCCAAACCACTCTTGTCTGCAACCTCTGTGCTGCCCCATTCCATGGTCGCCTTTCCCCTCCTCTTACCTGATTTCTCAGCAGCATTTGACACGGCTGACCACGTCCTGCTTCTAAAAGCATCTTTCTTGTCTTTGCTTGCACCACACTCTCTCCACGTGGTTCTCACCTCCTTGACCGTCCCTTACCAGACTCCTTGGCTGACGTCTCCGTCTCCACTTCCCTGGGACCTCTCTGTGTTCCAGCACTGCGAGGCCAACCATGGGCATGCTCCCTCCCGATAGAGGGCTGTGGAGGCAGCAGTGCCGGGCACCTGTGGAAAGGAGAGACCAGAGGCCCCGGGAGCTGACCCCGACTGTCCCGAGGGCAGACTGTGGGATCCTGAGGGCCCGGAGGGTGGCTGAGAAAGGGCATGTGCGGGCCCTTTCGGGTAGGCAGGTCCCTGTGGCTCCCTGGATGGCTCAGCCTGTGGGGAGGGTGCAGATAGAGTCCTGCTGGAGCCACAGCAAATCAGTCAATCAGTCCATCAATCAGTCAGCACACTGCTGTGGCGTGGGTTTTCTCTCGTGTTACAGTGGACAGCTCCAGAGGGTCTACGCTCCATTGGGTGTGCACAGTTTTTGTTGTTGTTGGAACTAGGTTGCCAAGTCTTTCTTTCAACTTCTCTCTAGGTGGGTTTGAACTGCCCACCGTTTAGAAGGTAGCTAAAATATTCCCTACCAAAAGGCGGGGCTTAGGTTGCCTGAATGTAAAGTCGTGTTTCTTGAAGTGGGAAATACAGCACCTTGGGGTGGGTGGGGTGCTGGAACAATCCAGGACACCTGCAAAAGCAGACGCCTAATTGTATACTGGATTCGCTTTCGACCCCTGTGAGGAGGGACCATCTCAGACACACCCAGGTAGCCGTCTGCCCTGCCCCAGAGGGTGACTGTGAGCCAGAATCGACCCCCGAGGCAGTGAGCTATGGGCTCTAGGACAAACGTTGTCATTGCCTGGGGGACACTGAGTAATGTGGTTTTGTTGTTGTTTTTTGAAGGGGGTGGGAGGCCAAGTAGTTAGGGAACTGGTGGTGTAAAGGCACTGCTACCAGGAGACGTGGAGGGAGCTCCTGGGCGGTGGAGGAGAGAGCTGGCAGTCGGACGGGGAGATTGTGCTGAGAGAGCAGAGAGTGGAACCGTAAGTGTGACTCCTCACGCGCAGTCCCATTCCTGCGTACCCCTTGACCTGGGTCCCCCAGAATTCAGCCATGGAGTTTGTTGGCTTGAATGATCAGAGGTTCTGAGTGTTTGCCCAGCTCCGCGACTTCCCAGGTGCACCAGTCCAATCAGAGAACTCCTTCATCTCACGGAGCCTCTGTCACCATCCTTGGTATGGATCTACTGATGCTTTGTAGTAGGGGTACTGGGGTGAGGTGACCAGATTTTAACATTGGTAAAGCGGGACACCATTGATAAAACTCATATCCTGGCAAAATAGCCACATGGCAGCTGAAAACCCTATACCCTAGTTTGTTGTGCATGCTTTCCAAAAATCGGGACTTTTAAAAAATGCCACAGGACATGGGACAAATTGTTAAAAATTGGGACTGTTCCGCCAAAAGTGGGACGTCTGGTCACCTTATCTTGGGAGCATTGTTGGGTCAGCGTTGGACGGCTCACCGCCAAGTCAGTGGTTCTAACCCAGTAGCCACTCCTCGGGAGAAAGATGAGGCTATCTGTTCACGTTAAGATGGAAGAAACCTTATATTGGAATCGACTGGATGGCAGTAGGTCTGGGTTTCGGATGCTTTTTAAAGGAGGTGAGGAGTGCTTGCGATGCTCCTGGTGGACAGGTAGGTGTAAGCCGCAGAGCTGTCGTGGGGGCCATTGATACTGAGGCGCAAACACACAAAACCGGAGATGCGCTGTACTAACAACGCAAAAGGAACAGCCACCTGCTGGCGGCCCACCTGCCTCCCCCCCCTGCTGCCCTGCAAGGAGCAGAGATGAGAGCTCAGGGTCGGAGAACCGCAGGAAGGAAGGAGGTGGGGCCTGCTCACAGGCCCAGGCGCTGCTGCCACCTTCCCCTTTCTCTGGCCCCTCCACTGTGGGAGAAGGACACTCGGAGGAGGATCCTTCCTGGGCCTGGTGATGGAGGCCCCCCCAGGGAGCCAGGGCCTGAGGAAGGGGACGGGGAGGTGCTGGTCCTGAAGTGGAGACCCCTGCCTGTGGGCAGGAAGCTGAGGTGCGGAGCGGCCGCAGCCTGGGAGCAGTGAGGGGTGTGAGTCATGGGTGGGTGGGAGGGGGGTGGTGGCAGCGGAAGTCGAAAGCGTGAGCCTCCGCATTCGCTGGGCCGGCTGGCTGTGCGGTACCGGCTGCCCTGACGGCTCCTGGGCCAGTTTATCAATTCTTGGGTTCTTCAGAGGTAAGCCAGGTGTGGGTCTTGGGGTGGGGGCAGGCAGACAGCCTTTGGAGGGCCACATGTGGGCCTTGGGCAGGTGATCAGAAAAGGTGGCGAAGGCTCTCTAGGCCGTCGTAGGTGCACCTACTGCAGGTGTACAGTCTGTGAGCCCCGCCTTGGGTGAAACCCCTCTTCCCTTCCTTTTCCTTCCCTCCACCCGCCTTCCTGCCCCCCATCGCTCCTTCTCAATCAGATCCTTTCTCAGGTTCCCTCCCTTCCCTGAGGCCTTCTGTTGGGAAGGGTGGCGGGCTCCTTGTGGGCCTCCCTAGCTCCCTGAAGGCTACTGAGGTTGAGTACCTGTGGGGGCTTTCATGGCCAGAGGCCCTTCAAGAGCCGTCATCTAGATACAGGAGGGAGGGAGGCCCGGCTGGCCAGCGACTCAGGGGAGCTGGAGGGCTAGTGTGGGTGTCATAGCTAGAATCAAGCGTTTTGACTCAGGCTCAGCCCTGTGGGCTCCCACTTCCACTTTTCCTATTGCACCCCACCCAGCAGCTTAGTGCAGAGGCAGGCAGCCTTGCCTGGCTGTCCTTCTTTGCGTCCGTGCGCTTACTGATGGCCCCTGTGTCATTAGTGAGTGGAACCAAGTGGGAGAAAGCACATACCCCCACCCCCTGCTCCAAAGACCCCTTTATTCGGGGCCCTGACATCTGAAATCCTCCCATTACAGTCACTACATTAAAAATTCTGGGTGGTGGGTCCTGCCGTCACAGAACAACGGGTGTCCCCGGGACTGTGGTACCTCCCCCAGGTTTAAAGGGATGGACCCCAAGCTTGCCTGTCTCCCTCAGCTCCTGGGTGTCAGCATCACACCGCTCCTTCTTCTGCAGATAGGGGTCACCCAGCCTAGAAATAAGAAACCCTGGCTGCTGAGCTCTCTGTGGCAGGAAGGGGAAAGGCCCCAAGAAGCGGGGAGGGGGGCAGTGTGAGGATGGAGGGTGAGCCCTCCTGACGGCCCATGGCCCTTGTCCTTCACCCACTGTCACAGCCGCCTTGCTTGGCACCCATACTTCCCATCCTCTCAGCCTTCTCCTTTAGTCCTCCCTGTAAGGCCGGGTTCCCCTCCCCCTCCATCACAGGGCCTGAGCACCACTGGCTTCTCTCTGCACATTTACATGAAATCGACTTCCGGTGTGGGCAGGATGTGGGGCCTCCCATATTCAGTTCTCTCTGTGTGCTCTGGGCCCAGGTTCAGGCTGGGTGCTAGCATCCTAGGACCCTAGACGGGGCGGGGGAAAGTTGATCTACCTGTCAGGGACCGACACCTCTCACCCCTCTCCTGCCCAGCAGGAGCAGGGCAGTGTCAGCTGTGTCCCTGGACGGGCTAGGCGCCTTCACACTTTTTCCACAAGAAGGAAAAAAAAAATGAGGATAAAAGGAAGTGCTGCTTGTGGTTGAGTCTGGAAGCTTAAAGAGGGTGCAGAGGAGACACATGGCGGGAACAAGAGACAGACAGACAGAATCAGAGACACGGCACCCTGAGTAAACAGCTTCCTCATGGGCTGAGGCCCCCGAGTGGGCTGAGGGAGAGCGGAGGGCTTGTGGTTTGGTGGGTTGTTTGTTTTGGCTTCTCTGAACCGACCTGCCAAGCAGCAGACTGAGGAGGACATCCTATTTTTTGAGCACCTAGCAAGGGCTGAGGCCCTGGTGGCATAGTGGGTTGCCCATTGAGCTGCTGACTCTAAGGTCAGTTGTTCGAACCCACCTGCTGCCTGACAGGAGAAAGATGAGGCTGTCTGCTCCCATAAATATATGTACAGTCTCAGCAGCTCAAAGGGGACCCTTTCTACCTTGCCCTATAGGGTTGCTATGAATCAGAATTGATTCAGTGACAGTGAGTGTGGATTTTTGGTTTCCCACGGGCCAGCGTGAACGCTCACAGATCCATTCCTGTTTACAGCAAACCCTCAGAGTTGTTTTGTGGCCCGAGAGTCCCGTGCCTCTAGGATTAGAGTCTCGTTTAGGAGCCCCCAAGTCTGTGTCTTAACCATCACCCCAAAGAGGACTTCAGAGGGGAGGACTGGAGGGGCCCCTGATTGAAAGAACTCAGAAACCAAAGGACAGAGACTATGGATCACAGGAGAGCTATGGGGACCTAGAGGAACCACCCACCTCAGGGAGGACCCTGGAAGGGAGGAGTGTGCTTGCCAAGCAAGGTGCCCAGCTCTCCTGATCGTGGGCCACGGATATGGCTGCCTCCCCAAGGGCCTGGCAAGGTCATCAAACAAGGGCCAAGTCTAAGCCATTTCTCAAAGTACAATCCATGTGTCAACTGGGGTCCTCCTTGTCCCATAGGGTGGAAGAGATTGCCCTGACGCCCCAGGGTGGGTGTGGCATGAGTGCGGAAGACACTCGTGTCTTCTAGGACCCCTGGCCCTCAGTTTCAGGGCCCTGCACGTGACCTCCCATTGAGGGACAGAGGCCACTTTCTAGTCCCCTACCAAGTTACAGGCTCAGAAACCCACAGGGGCATTCTGCCCTGCCCTTTGGGGTCACTGTGAGTCAGAAACAACGCATGGCAGTGAGTCACCTCCCCAGCGGCTCAGATGCAAAGCCCAGCCTGGGCAGTCTGCACCACGAGGAACCCCCGCAGAGGAGATGTGTCCTGAGAAGTGGTCCAGCTACGCGCAGAGCAGCCTGGTGTTCCCCAGGGCAAGTCCAGCATGGAGGGCACCTACCACCTCTTTCCAGGCCCTCGGGGTCCTCCCCTACTCCCCGCTGGAGTTTCCAATCCCGTTTCTGGGTTACACACAGCCCTGGCACTCGGCTCAGAGCTTCACCATCCAGTCTCCAAGCCCTATGGAAGGACCACTGTGTTCTAGAATTGTGACCTTTGATGGCTGGTTCTCTCCTTTTGTTGTGGTTAAGTCAGAGGTCTGACATCCATCCAGCAGGCTCCACGCTCGGTGACCTTGTGTGTGTCAGCGGAGGAGGGGTCTGCAAAATGTTCCTGGAAAGAAAGAAATGTGAAGATGATTGTGTTTCCCCCACAAACTAAGTAGTAATGTGCTTCGTGCTTTGTAGGGGCCTCAACGGCTAATTTGTCGGAAGTTGGTCACCAGGTCTGTCCCCTGAGGAGCCTCCGGGTAGACTCAAGCCTCCAACTTTTCAGTTAACAGCGGCCACCTGCTGTTGGTGCCTCACAAGGAGGGAAACACACCCAGAAAAGTCTAGATGCAGAGTCCCGAGCTCTGCTTCCAAGTTCTTGGGCAGGATCCCTAAGAGGGGCAGGTAACTCCTTGAAAGAGGCTGGGCTCCACCCTGTGACCCCTCTCAGAGCAGGTTCCCTCTACCCAGGTGACCACTGGTACTGTCTGGGCAACCTTACGGAGTGACATCATCACCCCCTTCTGGGCTTCTGAGAAGGAAGAAGTGGTGAGCTGATAAACTAGGCCTCAAAATGAAATCATAATGCTAAGATGAAGTAAAGTCTTCTTCCCCAAGCCTCTGTCTTCCTAGCCCTCTGGGCAGGTTGTCGAGGAGGGGAGGAAATGCCCCACTCATTTCATTCATTCATTCATTCATTCTTCCCTTCTCTTAGTTTTCAAACTTTTCCTGAATGTCAACTTTAAACAAACATAAAAACCTCAATCAAAAAGAAAGCAGAAAAATAGTAAGCACTAGAAAAATTCTAAATGGATCACGAGGGAGGTCAAATGATAGGGTGCTAACTTTTAACAGAATGACATTTGCAACAATCCACTTTCCAATGCGTTCTTCATGACAGAAGGCTCTGCACTGCCTGGGACTGTGGTCAGAGGGGATTTATCAGAGGCTTAATCCAGGTGTGTGTGTGTGTGTGTGTGTGTGTGTGTGTGTGTGTGTGTGT